TGCCCCGAAATGGCCCCAAACCTGAAGGGGAAGCTCCTGGCGCAGCCGTAGCCCACGGAGCCCCCCAGGGCCAGCAGCTCCAGCAGCACCGAGGGGAGGCTGAGCCCCCCCCCGCTGCGGGACCCCCACACCTTCAGCAGCTGGGGCACCTTCACTGCGGGAAACGGGGTTAAAATCCAAAAAAAAACCCAAAAATCGACCCCAAAATAGCCAAAAACCGCATTAAAATAGCCAAAAACTGCATTAAAATAGCCAAAACCCCCATTAAAATAGCCAAAAACTGCATTAAAATATCCTAAAATGCCCCCCCAGGGACCCCCACACCTTCAGCAGCTGGGGCACCTTCACTGGGGGAAACGGGGTTAAAATCCAAAAAAAACCCCAAAAATCCACCCCAAAATAGCCAAAAACCGCATTAAAATAGCCAAAAACTGCATTAAAATAGCCAAAAACCACATTAAAATAGCCAAAAACTGCATTAAAATATCCTAAAATGTCCCCCCAGGGACCCCCACACCTTCAGCAGCTGGGGAACCTTCACTGGGGGGAAACGGGGTTAAAATAAAATAAAATAAAATAAAATAAAATAAAATAAAATAAAATAAAATAAAATAAAATAAAATAAAATAAAATAAAATAAAACAAACCCAAAAATCCACCCCAAAATACTCAAAAAATCCACCCCAAAATAGCCAAAAACTGCATTAAAATATACCAAAATTGCTTTAAAATACCCCAAAATTGTCCCTAAATGCCTCCCCAGGGACCCCCAAACCTTCAGCAGCTGCAGGATTTTCATTTAGGGTGGAAAAAGGGGTCAGGGTTCCCCAAAAAATCCCCCCAAACTTATCCTAAAATAATTTGGGATCCCAAAATCTCCTCAGATCCCCCCAAAATCTCACCCAGGACGGATCCCGCCACGATCCCGTAACCCAGAACTTTGCTCAGGAGGATTTTCAAGCACGGAACTGCAGGGAAAGGAGAAAGTTGAGCTGAAGTGACCCCAAAATTCCTAAAAATTCCTCAAAATCCCCCAAAATTTCCTCAAAATTCCTCAAAATTTGGAACATCCCTCCCCCAAAACAAAGATGGCGGCGGCATCGCCTCACAGCCAAAGCAAAGATGGCGGCGCTGCTTTTCCCGCGCCCAAAACAAAGATGGCGGCGCCGATCATAACTCCCGCCCAAAACCAAAATGGCGGCCGCCCCCACAACCCTTAAAGACGCCCCAAAATCCCGCTCGAGACCCCGAAAAGCCCCAGGAGCGCCCCCCGCGGCCCCGCGGCACCATGGAGGAGCTGTAAGCGCAGGAAGAATTGATCGAAGCAGTGCTCGGGCAGCAGGAACGGCACGAGCCAAGGCCGGAGCGGCTCCATGGCGGCTCCCGCTCTGAGGGGAAAACGGCGGGAAACGCCCCGCGCACGCCGTGATTGGCTGAGACGCCAGAAAGTCCCGCCTCCCTACGCCCGCTCCGTAATTCTATTGGTTAGAATAGAGAAGTTCGCTCCAATCAAAACTGCACCCAGCTGCGATTAGTCAACGGCTTATTGCGCAACGCGATTGGCTGAGTGGGCGTACAGCTCCGCCTCCCGCCGGCGAGGCGAGCTGTGATTGGTCAGATTTTTATTAATACGATTAAAGATTTAAATCCCCCCTCATCCCACAGAAATCCCCCAGATTCACCCAAATTTTGGGTCCGGAGCTCTCTGAACCCCCAAAATCCCTCCTAAATCCTCCCACTAAAGCTTTAAATTTAGGTGACGAACACGATTTTGCGGGATCTCGAGTGTTTCGGCTTTGGGGGATTCCAGAGGGTTTCAGGCCCAGATTTTGAGGGACTTTGACAGATCTGGGTGGGTCCAAGTCCAGATCTCGGGGGTTTGGGGGGGATCACTGTCCCGATTTTTGGACTTTAAAACCCTCTCCTGGGGGCTCAGACGGAGATTTTGGGGTCTCAGAGCGATTCTGGGGGGCTCAACCCCTCCGGGACGAAATTTTGGGGATCCAACCCCCAAATTTTTGGGCGTCCGGGACATTCAAAATGAACCTTTCCGCCTTTCTACCTCTGCGCATGCGCACTGATGACGCCGCAGCCTCCATAGATGGCAAAACCTCCGTACTGCTTTGCCCTTATTGCGCATGCGCCCTGCACTTATGGGCGCCGCCATGTTTACGGCACTTTCGTCCCTATTGCGCACGCGCAAACCCTCATGGACGCCGCCATGCGCGCCGGCGTTGCCGTACGCATTCACCGGACCGCGCCCGGAAGCGCCGAACGGGCCCGGACCGGAGCCGGGACCCGCCCCCGGTAACCCCGGACCAGGCCCGGGATCTCCCGGGACCCCCCGGTAACCCCGGACCAGGCCCGGGATCTCCCGGGACCCCCCGGTAACCCCGGACCAGGCCCGGGATCTCCCGGGACCCCCCGGTAACCCCGGACCAGGCCCGGGATCTCCCGGGACCCCCCGGTAACCCCGGACCAGGCCCGGGATCTCCCGGGACCCCCCGGTAACCCCGGACCGGAGCCGGGACCCCCACCCCCTTCCCGGGACCCGCCCCCAGGAACCCCTCGGGACCCCCCCGGTAACCGAGGATCCCCCCGGGGACCCCCCGTTAATTCCCGGGATTTAAATCCTTTTATCCCCCAAAAAAATTCCCGAAAATTCCCGGGATTTCACCCCCCAAATCCCCCCAATATTCCCTGGATTTAACCCCAAAATTCCCGAGATTTCACCCCAAAATTCCCCCAATATTCCCTGGATTTCACCCCAAAATTCCCGAGATTCCACCCCAAAATCCCCCCAATATTCCCTGGATTTAACCCCAAAATTCCCGGAATTCCATCGGGATTTAACCCCAAAATTCCCCCAATATTCCTTTGATTTAATCCCAAAATCCCCCCAATATTCCCTGGATTTAACCCCAAAATTGCCGGAATTCCCTCGGGATTTAACCCGAAAATTCCCCCAATATTCCCTGGATTTAACCCCAAAATTCCGGGAGTTCCCTTGGGATTTACATCCCATTTTCCATCCAAAATTCCCGAAAATTCCTGCAATTTTCCTGGGATTTAATCCTCATTATCACCCGAAAATCCCCAAATTTCTCTCGGGATTTAACCCCCAATCCCGCCAATATTCCTGGAATTCCACCGGGATTTAATCCCCCAAAATTCCCAGGATTCCCTCTAGATTTAACCCCCCCAGTCCCCCCAAATTCCCAAAAATTCCCAACATTTCCTCGGGATTTAAGGCCCAAAATTCCTGGGATTTAATCCCTCCGAAATTCCCCAAAAATTCACAAATATTCCCAAAATTCTGCCGGGATTTAACCCTGAAAATTCCCAAAAATCTACCAGGATTTAATCCCCAAAATTCCCAGATTTCCCCCCCTTATTTTCTCCCAAATTCCTTTGGGGTTTAACCCAAATTTTTCTCAATATTCCCAGAATTTCCTTGGGAATTTACCCTTTAATTCCCTCAGGATTTAACCCGTCCTGAGGGAATTAAATTTTAATTTCTGCCCTGTATTTTCCCCTCATTTCTCCCAGTTTTTTCCCCATTTCCCCCCCAGATTTCCAAAATTCCTTCAGGATTTAACCTCTCAATTCCCAGATATTTTCCCTGTATTTCCCCTCCTGTTTTCCCGTTTTTTCCCAATTTTTTCTCTATTTCCACCCCAATTTTTTCCCCATTTCCATCCTATTTTCCCCAATTTCCCCCAGTTTTTCCTCATTTTTTTCCCATTTCCCTGCCTAATTTACCCAAATTTTCCTCTATTTCCCCCAGTTTTTCCCCATTTTCCATTCTTTTTTCCCCATTTCCCTCCTATTTTCCCCAATTTTTTTCCTCAATTTTCCCCAGTTTTTCCTCATTTTTTCCTCATTTTCCCTCCTAATTTACCCAAAATTTCCCCAATTTTCCCCATTTCCCCCCTATTTTTTTCCCTGTTTCCTCTCCTATTTTCCCCAATTTTTTCTGCAATTTTCCCCACTTTTTCCTAATTTTTTCCCCACTTCCCCTCCTAATTTACCCAAATTTTCCCCAGGTTTTCCCCATTTCCCCCCCAATTTTTTCCCCATTTCCCTCCTAATTTCCCCAATTTTTCCTCATTTCCCCCCCAATTTTTTCCCCATTTCCTCTCCATTTTCCCTTCAGTTTTTTCCCCCAACTTTCCCCGTTTTTTCTCCATTTTCTCCCATTTTTTCCCCATTTCCCCTCATATTTCCCCCAATTTTTCCCCATTTTCCCTCAATTTTCCCCCATTTCTTCCCCATTTTCCCCCCATTTTTTCCCCATTTTCCCCCCAATTTTTCCCCATTTTCCCCTTTTTTTCCCCC